CTTCCGATCGAAGGAATCGAGCGATCGGACGATTAGCCGAGAAAAATTAGGTTAGCGAGGGAATCGAGATGAACGGCGAGGAAACCGGTTTGAAAAGTCTGGTACCGAGGATCACAGCGTAAAATCGTGGAATAAATCACAGGCTTAGGCTGTTGAGAGCAAAGCAGCCGCAACTCGATAATAAGTCGTATTGACATTTCGAAGATAACGAGTAATATATCGTTGACGCGATAAAGAAGATCGATTTGTAGAGAAATATAGCAGCAGTGGATCGAGTTCTCGAAGCTAGGAGACCGAATCGTGTCTTCGGAAAGCGACGTGGAATCCACGTTTCCCTGCGATTTCTTGTTCCTCGATTTTTCTTGAATTAATATCGCCGCTGTATGTGGATCGGTTTGTCGAATTTACGAGCTTCTACAATGGGGATAAAGTTGCAACTCGAATGTCGTTAGCGCGAAGGTAAGGATTCCTTCGCTAACTGGAGCGTTAATCGAAGATCGAATCGAAGAAGACTCGTTGACCCAAGCCTGATTCGGAGTGGCGAGATATATTGGTCGAAGAAGTTGAACCGCAATCACGAATCTTCCACTTCGATTGTGTCTAACGAACTCGAACAATTTCTGGAATTAACCGGTGCAACATCGTTGAAGATTAACTCGAACGCGAGCAATTTATTGTCCTCGATGAGTAGCGACAGCTTTCTCGTAAAATAGGCAACTCGAGATTATTGAGGGCAATAAAGCAGCAATTTAAGATCTTTTGAAGTTTATTCTACTTCTGTAATCGGGATTTAAAGAGCGAGATTAAAGTATATAGGAGTATTTCATTTTATTCAGTATTATCGTGTAAAATTGGGATTTTTCAAATTTGGTATTTCATTTTTCTTTTACCTATAGAATTTTTAGGGAAATTTCATGGCCCGAAATTTTGGGCATGTCATAGCAAATTAATTTTACAGTTATTTTTATTTTTTCTTTTATTTTTGGGAAGGGAAAATGAACTTCTCTCTATTTCCATCAAAGCTATCATCCACAGAATACTGATCCCAATACAACGTTGTATCAAGTTATAATCCGTCTATTTTTAACAGATTGCAGAAGCTCTAGAAGCTACAAAAATACTGTAGAGAAGCGTATACAACTTCGCAGAGATCAAAGCTCACAGAGCTCACCAAAATCTCTGCTGAAGCCAATTAAGAAGACTTATAACACTCGATAGAATCTACACAATCGATAGTGACATAAGAAAGTTCGTAGAACTTTGCAAAAGCTGTGTACAGTGATTTAAGTAGCTTGGCAGATCCACAGACTGGGTACCCAAGGTACTCTGCCAGAAACCACTCCAAGAAAGAAGTACTTAATCACGGAATTAATAAATTTCACAGAACCCGACAGAAATCTCAACTCTATAGAAGGAGACTCACAGTCTAGTCTCCCTGGAACAATACACCAATCTCGAAATCACCGGAAGAAAGCTCACAGTGCCCTGCACGAGCTACAGAGATTAACAAATCTCGCAGAATCGTAAAAACTCTCTACTTTACAGAACCTGACTGAAAACCTTCCAAGAACAGCTCACCTACGGATCTACGAACCAGCGCAAGAAAGCTTAGAGTACCTCGCGGAGGCTAGAGAAGTAGACCGAGGAAGCTCCGACTGCGGAAGCTTTACATCGTTACTCAGAACCCATAAAGACGTTGGCTGAAAACCCTTGGCTACCGAGAACAAACAAGCTAAGTCGGGCAATAAAAACCGACGATTTGGCAAGAATCGAAGTCGCAATCGGGTGACCTTGGAAGCAGCCGAGGACTTTGGTCGATTGTCTTGCCGAAGATCTGCCGGTCGCGTGATTCATCGAGGTCGCCGGTTGAGCGGGTCAGGGACGCGTGTTCCGCGGCTTCAGGTCGGTGCGCATCCAACCTGGATTTCTGCACGATTTAACGCCGGTCGTCGGGCTTCGGGGACGCGGCAGCGCGCCGGCCTGCAGACGGCTCGCGTTATCTGCTTCGCGCCACGATAAAGTTCCGCGCGCGGACGCGATAAGAGCCGCGGTTTTGCCTGATTAATCACCGCAGTCTATCGGTCGATTCTGGCCCCGTTAAGAGATCCGAGTGGACCGGCAGGCCGGAGTGTCGTCGAGTCCGTGGGCTGGAAAGTGAGAACGACGAACAGTGAATCTGCCTTGATGGCTGCTGGCCTGTGAAGCCAAGCGTGGGATTGGAGGAAGCTGAACAGGGGTCCAGGAACTATCGGGGAACTAGAGTGGTGAGTACTCCTGGCAGACTGCAGGATTATCCTTTTTACTTCGCTTAGGTATGACTGTATGATGGTAGGATAACGCTCAGATATCTACAGAAATTCTGCCGATTTATCGAGTTTTAGGATTGTTTTATTTCTTCTAGCGCGTGCTGATGCATTTTTGTTTCTCGAGGTGGATCATTGACGTAGTTGACGATCTGTCAAAGTTGATTCGCGTGCGCTTTCGAGTGTCGTGTCAGTACGACGTGTGTGTGTGTGTGTGCACTCGTAGTAGTGGCTGTGGCTTTCAGTGTCGGTGATCTGTTTGCTCGTATCATTGACGTAGTTGACGATCTGTCAAAGTTGATTCGCGTGCGCTTTCGAGTGTCGTGTCAGTGCGACGTGTGTGTGTGTGTGCACTCGTAGTAGTGGCTGTGGCTTTCAGTGTCGGTGATCTGTTTGCTCTGGTCGTTAAAATGAACAATGTACGGGTATGGTAGCTCGAGGCTGTATAATAAGAGCGTATAAATTATGTATTATACGAGGTGATCCTCGGCCGGAAAATCTGTCTTCAGGCGCGGGACTTGCTCGTTTGGAGAAAATATTTCGATAGTTCTGGTTGTTCCACGGGCAATGAGACTTCACCAGGGATCGAGTGACGGTATCTATGCGCCGTTTAAAACAAAGCGTTTTTGATAATCCCATAATCCCATACACCTGTCCAATCAACTTATCTTTGGCTCTTCGGTAGCTTCGATAAAAATGAATTTTCGAAAGGAATGTACGTACAGACGTGCACGTACCTGTAGATTCTTCTTTAAGGGGGGAGCCCCGATTGGCGAATGACAAATTTCTTTTCACGATCCCGAAACGAGGGGCACGGGCAGCTAATTGGCGAAGGGGAGTCGCCCGAAGAATTACGTCTCTGGTTTGGGCCTGTTCCCGATGCTTAATGAATGATCGACGATTAAAAGAGGTTAATAAGCACGCTCCGGTTTGATCGAGATATAATTCAAGGATCGAGAGGATCGAGAGTGGCGCCATTCGGCGGAACGAAAACGAAGAAAGGAAGGTAATCAGCGTGGTAGGAAGTGCAACATTATCGGTACCCCCTTGGGAAAAATAAGAAAGCTGTCGTTGATTGACTGCGCGAGCGTGCCGCGGTTTGCCCCGTTCGAAGATTAACTCGGCAATTAAGCGCGTGGGCTCGTGCTTTTCTGTTTTTCGCGTGTTCGATCGCGTGTTCGATTAACAATCAGGGGAGTGGCGCGAACGCGGCCATTTTTGCGAACGAGCTTGGCCTCGATCGCCGTGGATCGTGGTCTGGATCGTTTTCAGCCGGGGAGCTATTGTGAATGGCGTTGCTTGCGGTTTCTTCCAGAGAAGAATCGCTGGTACACTGACGGCCAAAAGTATTGCATTTCAATGGCTGGTTATTTGCGGCAGGATGCGATGTTAAATTTCGGGATAAAAGAGCCTGTAATTTTCTCGAATATTTCATTTTTCTTGTCCCTGTCGCGTGTTTCGGATGTCGCGATGGGACGAGATCGATTATTTCTTGTTTGTTAGAAGAATGAGAAAATGTTCATTTAATAATATTCATTTTCTTTTCTGTTTTCTCTTCCTTATCTTTAAGAGTAATTTTCTGTTTCTATGAATCCGAAATTATATATTTCTGGATCAAAAGTTAATTAAACATTGAAACGTTAGGAAATCTGTTTTGCTGTTTCGAAATTCATTTATGAGTCGTATCGTTTAATCCGTTTGAGTAATTTCTGCAAAGAAAATTCTTAGATAGGGATAGCAAGTGGTAAAACAATGGCTTAATACGTGGTACTTAGAAAAGCGTGAAAGCGTTCGATAAGCAGGCAATTTTCGATCGAGTTAACGATCGGGGAACATGAAAACGCGAATCGGTGGATGTGCGAACTTCAAAAATTCTAAGTACGACGCTACCACGACGCTACCACGCTACCACGACGCTACCACGCTACCATGACTTTACCACGCCACCACGACGCTACCACGACGTTCCTTCGTCTCCTTTTTCCCAAATAACACGCGACTCTGGATCTTTCCCAAACCCATACCCTTCCTCGAACGCAAATTTCGCGTGGACGCTGAAACAACTGTTAGGCACCACAGACGAGCCCTTTCCTCCCGCAAACGACGGCGATGCAGCGCCGCGAGGTTTTGCATAGCCCACTGACGGATGAGCATTGAATGCCCGGCCGGAGTTTATTAACTTCTTCCCGCAACTTCGTTAGAACGGTATCCGCGCAATTAGGCGTTTCAGTGGAAGGCGAGAAAATCCGACTCGCGAGCCTTTCCGCGCCTTTCCCGCTTCTTTCGCGCGTTTCTTCCTCCGACCGCTGCTCGCCGGTCAAGAGGAAGAAGACGTTCGCCGAGGGGACTCCGTTCCGCTCGTTCCGCTCGTTCTCGCAGACCTATCACGGTGATTTGTGGCTGCTCGCAGAGATACATCTCGCTGCTCGCGCGTCGCCTCGCTTTTTCTCTGACATGACTATAGCGACGGAAGAAACGGGACGCGAGCTTGGTTCGTCTTGCAGGCTGACGTACACGCGTCGAGGCTTCTTCCGAGCTTTTGACTAACGTGATCGCGCGTCGTCTAGGACGATCTAGGAGGATCTAGGAGGATCTAAGACTTCTTGAACGTCGCGTGATGGGTACCAAGTGCGTTTGGTAGGGGGTTTTGGTAGGGTTGATGATGGTATTTACGACAGAGGGGGTGCAGCTCATAGATCGAATTATTGAAAGTCGTCTGAGGTTTTATAATGGGTGACAGCTCTTTTTAAATTCATTTTCCCTTTTCTTCCTTTTAATTGCCATTTATTTCGTGGTTACCTTGTTGAGAGTTTGTACATGTTCCGTATTAGGCGTTTGTTGCTTCTCTTTTAATATATGATTGCGAATTATTATATAAACGTTTCTCGTTTTACGTGTCATCTATCTTGGTAGTGATTTGAAGCTTTATTGAGTAGAGAAAGCGAGTGGAATTTATTTTGGAACGTTGAGAAGAAGATGAAGTTTTCTTTTTATATGGATGCGAAATTGTTGATTTTTATTTCGACGGTCGAGAAATTAGTGGGAATTTTGTTTAGGGAAGAAGGCGAATTCGAGAAATTTGTGAGAATTTTTTTACAGGAGAAATTGGTATCGTTTGGTAGGATTTTGGGGATTTAAAGTGTCTTTTAGGTGTGTTTGTACATATTCGCAACTCTGTCGACTTTTTTCTTTTCGATGTATTATGATAAACGCGATCAGATTGGCTATTGGCCAATTTTTGCGACCTCGCTATACCGTGGCCTCTATGTGGGCTCATTTTTAACACTCCCAAGGACTGGGCTGGCATCGTTGGAAGCACTCGTATCTCGAAAGTCGGTCGATTGTCGTCGAGCTATATCTTAATGACTGGATAATGACGCTGGGTCATTGAAAATGGACTCCAGTTATTTAAACGTATACCGCGTATACATGACCGTTATGAGAAGAAGAAATACACGATTGACTACCGATTTCTAGCAGATCAGTCCATATGCTTCTGACCTTTTTTACCACGGACCTTACTTGTTATGCGAATTGGCGAAATAACGGGGAACAGGTTTCGAGTCGAAATAAATCTTAATTTTGCATTTCTTTTGACGGACTATGTGTATATGTTTGGAACGTTGGAAATTTAGAATTTGGAACCTTGGAAATTTGGAATTTGGAACCTTGGAAATTTGGAAATTTGGAATTTGGAACGTTGGAAATTTGGATATTTAGAAATTTGGAATTTGGAACCTTGAAAATTTGGAAATTTGGACTTTGGAACATTTTTATTTTATTTATTATATATATTCCAAATTTCCAAAGTTCCAAGTTCCAAATTTCAAAGGTTCCAAATTCCAAATTCCAAAGTTTTAAAGTTCCAAATTCCAAATTTCCAAATTTCCAAATTCCAAATTTCCAAAGTTCCAAATTTCCAAATTTTCAGTTTCAAAGCGACAGATCCATCGCTCCACATTTAAACCCATAATTTTCAATTTTAAATGGTTATTGATTCCATTAATATTTTTCACAATTTCGTTCACGATACTATATTAATGCCGTCGTTATTTAAAATTTATTACATATATCCGAAAATACAGGACATGGGTATAGATTCAGCTCGTCACATGGAACGTGCAGAGAAACGCGGGAAAAGCGAGGGAGAAAAACGAGATCGTTACGAATCGGTAGAAATTCGATTTCGATCGAATGGAGCGTAATCGAACGCGTTTCACGACTTTCCTTCGGGATGACTGTGCTCGTGGCCGCGGCATTTCACCCTCGGATTACGAAACCCGTCGAATCATCGTCGCTTAGGCGGGAAAACGTTTTCGATCGTTAGCGTTTCAACCGGACTGCCGGCGTAATGCCACGGTCATAAAACGCGAACTTTCGCGTTCGGTTGTTCCTTTCGCACGCATCTGCCGTGGAGAGGTGTGCAACGCGGAAACGTTTTGCTCTCCCTTGAAAAGTTTTAGCCCGCCATTGCTTCACTTGGCCGGAGAAATCTCTGGCCACGAATATCTATTGTCCATGTGTATATACTTTATTAACCCTTTATCCTCGAATTTTTACACATCGCACGGGGAGAAAATTTATTTTTCATCGTGCTCCTTGTTCGGAGGAAGAGAAAGAAATTGCAGAAATTATGGAAATTAATTAAACGAGAATTAATTATTTTTATTTGAGATTTTGGGAAAGAAGAAAATTAATTATTTTTATTTGAGGTATTGGGAAAGAAGAAAATTAATTATTTTCATTTGAGGTTTCGGGAGAAAAAGGAATTAATTATTTTTATTTGAGGTTATGGATTACAATATGGATAAAATGGAACAAGAATATCTTTTACTATTTTTAACACGAAACATAAGACATATTTATGGAAAAATATTTGAATAATAAAATAATTGATTATTAAAATAATAAATCCATTTACTCTTTCTAGAACTTTCTTCTCTCTCTTTCTTTCTTTCTTT